TGGAGGTTGCTGTGAGCGTGATGCCATGGCACTCTACCCAGGAGGATAGCTTGAGGCTCCGTCTCAAAAAAAAAAAAAAAAAATTACACTGTGATGAATACATATCCTTTTGCAAATACTGTGCTTTTCTACAGTTGTAAGCATATTTGAGATCTTGGGTTTTTGTTTTTGTTTTTTTTAGACAGAGTCTTATTTTGTCACCCTCGTTAGAGTGCCATGCCGTCGTATCTCACCAACCTCAAAATCATGGACTGAAGCAATCCTCTTGACTCAGCCTCCCAAGTAACTGGGACTATAGGCACCACCACAACAACTAGCTCTTTTTAGAGACAGGGTCTCACTCTTGCTCAGATTGTTTCAAACTCCTGAGCTCAAGCACTCTGTCCAGCTTGGCCCTCCAAGTGCTAGGATTATAGGCATGAGCCACCACTATGTCTGACCTTTTCTTTTCTTTCTTTCTTTTTTTTTTAAAAATTAATTAATTAATTATTTATTTATTTAAAGGCAGGGTCTTTCTGAGTCAGCCAGGGCGGAATGCACTAGCATGGTCATAGCTTACTCTAGCCTCAAACTCCAGGTTTCAAGTAATCTTGCTGCCTCAGTCTCCCAAGAAGCTGGGACTATAGGAACTGGCCATCACCTACATCTGGCTAATTTTGGTCAGGTTCTTTTTACCACAGAGAAGATTGAGTGTAGAAAACATTTTGTGACTTGCGTTTGGTAATAGCTATCTGTAGTTAGCTATTCCTTTACTTAATTAAAACCAAAAAAGCAGAAGCATTTTTTTCCTTTGAATTGGCCGCCCTCCTGGGTTCTTTTGAATCTCATAGGTTTTGTAAAAATGACTTACTTTATTTAAAAACAGGGTCTCATTGCTCAGGTTGGAGTGCAGTGGCACAATAACAGCTCACTCCAGCCTCTAACTCCTGGGTTCAAGCAATCCTCCTGCCTCAGTCCCTAGAGTAGGTGGGACCACAGGTGTGTGTCACTATGCCCAGCTAATTTTTATTTTTTGTATAGATGGAATCTCTCTTTGTCACCCAGGTTGGTCTTAAACTCCTAAGCTCAAGTGATCCCCCTGCCTTGGTCTTCCAAATTGCTGGGATTACAGGCGAATGCCAGGGCACCCAGCCTGACTTTCTTTAAAGTTGGAAATGTTCTTATAGCAAAAGGTTTTTGCTCCTTCCTGGATTATGTCTGGGTGACAGGTTTTGTGAATTTGCCAAGTGATGCATGCAAAAATATATAAAAATTAGTGGAGTAGGTTCTATATTTGCAGTTTAAACAAACTGTAGATTCAAAATACTAAAAAAACACAAGAATAAAAAAATATAAACTTTAAAATATAACAACTATTTGCATTGTATTAGGCATTACAAGTAATCCAGAGATGATTTAAAATATACAAGAGGGTAAGCTCTACCGTACACTGGCTGCTTTGGGGCTGTGCTCAGGGTGGACCTCAGGTTTAAAGTCAATAGAGGGAAGCTGCCACAATTTTTGTACTTCTGTTTCTAAAAATGTCACTTATAAGGAACTTAAAAATCTGTTGAATTCTAAAAGCATTAAGTTAATTGATGTTAAAGAGATGTGGGAAATTCTTGACCCTGGAAAAATTCCTAGGTCTATCAATATACCACTGGAAGAAGTAGGTAAAGCTCTGCAGATGAACCCAAGAGACTTCAAAGAGAAGTATGATGAAGTAAAGCCATCCAAATCTGACAGTCTAGTGTTTTCTTGTTTAGCGGAGGTAAGAAGCAAGAAGGCTCTGAACACTGCAGTATCTCTGGGCTTTAACAGATCTCAACACGATGCTACAGGATGGAAGGAATGAGTAACTTACAAAGTTTCGGAAAAGAAATGAGGAAATTGAATTTTGGAATACAAGTTGGGTCTTTCCTGTCTACCTGTAGCCTAAGATAGTGGAATGAGCAAAAGAATAAAAATCTAGTCCTGGTACCACTGGTTATGGCAGGGTAATTTTGTATAAATCCATGACTTATGGAATCTCTTTCATCTGTAAATTAAGAATACCATTTTCCCCTGCCTACTTGCAAGGTCTACTGAGAATTAAATGATGCATGTAACTTACCATGGAAATATCATGATTGGGATTCTAGGAATTAACTTTTCTAAGTAGTTTAGTATAGTTCAGTAGTATTCCAAAAGACCCAGTTACCTGTATTACTTAATCATATGTGGCTATGAGCTAAGCTAGTAGCTTAACAAGCAGACTTGACCTTAAACAAATCAAAATTGGTGGGATCCAGACAAATATGGAAAATTTGAACAATGAAAATACATTAAGCATCCAAAGACATAGCAGTGTTATAACCAGCACAGTAGTTATGTAATTTGCAATTTTCAAATTAAAATTCATACTATTAATAGGGGGATAGAAATCAGAACAGTGGCTACTGTTCTAGAGGGAAGGAGATTAATTAGAACAAGAAGGAGGAAATTTTTTAGGATGATGGAAATGTTCTGTACCTTGACTAAGGTATTGGTACATAGGTATATAATATATACTATATACATTTTTCAAAACTCACTAAAATAAGACACTTAAAAATGTAAAAAAATAAAAATAAAGTATGCAAGAGAATGTGTATAGGTTATATGCAAGTAATAACTTACTTTTATGTAATGGACTCACATTTGGGGCTTTTGTTACTCAAGGTAGGCTTCCTGAAATCGATTATCTTGGAGATAGTGAGAGAAGACTGCATCCTACAAGCTCAGTTCTGATAGTGATTATTTGATGTTTTTCATTGAATTGAAAGATTAAAAAATTGAATCTTTGGATTTGGAAGTTTAAAATACAGAGTCAGGGAGGCGCCTGTGGCTCAAAGGAGTAGGGTGCCAGTCCCATATGCTGGAGCTGGCAGTTTCAAACCCAGCCTTGGCCAAAAACTGCAAAAAAAAAAAAAAGAAAAA